GTCCACTCTGGTTCTGGTTCTGATTCTGAGTCTGCTGGAGGGAGCCCAGGAGCTGTTTGATTTTATCTGAGAAGTCTGGTTGCTTTATCAATTCTTCAGTAGACTGGTTACCAGAGGGCCCCTGATGATAGACAGTTGTCATTAGTTACACTTGGCAGTAACAACAAAAAGAAAACTTAAACTGAGTGCAGAGATATTTTACAAAAACTTCCATAATTAAACCTGATTTCGACGTTCCATAATTAGAAAAGATGCTACTTTGTGATGATTGTCCTGTATTTACCATTATGGACGACAGCAGCTCCTGTATATTGACAGAGGGAGGCACAGTGTTGCTGACGATGTTGGAGGCCTGTGGGCTGCGGGAACTGTTGTTCAGGTTACCAATGAGATTGGCCAAGACAGGCGGCAGTTTGGCGCTCTCGCCAGAGCCCGGTTGTGACGTCGTGTCCATGGGTTCTACGTAGCCATCATCCTGCATCGACGAGTCCTGGATTGGAATCAGACTGACAGCTCAGTAGGCTGGTAGTGCACATGTAGAATATGTAAATGACAAGAATTGTAGAGAGTGTGTGTTTTAGTGAGTGTGTGTGTTTTACTGAGTGTGTGTGTTTTAGTGAGTGTGTGTGTTTTAGTGAGTGTGTGTGTTTTAGTGAGTGTGTGTGTTTTAGTGAGTGTGTGTGTTTTAGTGAGCCAACCTCATCGAGTGGGATGAGACGGGGGGGCATGGGTTCATACGGCTCTGGATCTGGTTCGTGTGGACTGTCGGGCACACTGATGATGAGAAAGGAAAGAAAACTGTAAACACCAAATTCTTGTTTTAATAAAAGGACGATTTAACTTTTTGGTATGAACATGGTGAGACTCGTTTTCTCTCAGACCACAACAATGGCGGATGCTAAGCAAGACCGAAGCTTCTAATATGAAGAAACGTCTGTAAATAATGCTTGAAATGGTCATCTCAGGCACACAACTGAGGGCGTAGCAGCACACATACTGTTTAAACGTGTTCTACTTTCTCATCTTTTTGGCATCTGCTCGATCCTGGAAACATGCACTTACTAACCACCGCGCGTACATATGCCCTACCTCTCTTTGCTGAGGAAGATCTCTTGCAGAATGCCCATTTCACGGTCTCTTTGGGTGAGTTTCTCTGTGCTGTTTGCACCTGAAGTAACAAGACAGCCAGCCAGCGTCAGGGGTCTTGGGGGTGTCCAGGGGACTCTTTCTTCCATGGTATCGTGGGAAAGCCGACGAGCCATTTCAAATGTCTGCCGGTCCATCATTAGCTCTCGTTTTGCTGCCTCACCGAAGTCCTTAATTTTGTTGACATTGACTGTGAATTAAGTATAATGGCATTAATAGTTGTTTTTTACAGACCAACTGTAAAAAGTCGACTCAAACACTTTGGTATTTGAACCTCCAGCTGTACCTCTTTCTGTCTCATCCAGATCAAAGTAAAAATAGTGTTTGAGCTGCTCCTCTTCAGCCCAGTGAACCGTCTTCTTCTTCTTGCCTTTCTTGGTCAAGCTTTCTTCTTCTCCACGTGGCTCTGCCAGAGCATTTGGTTTCTCGCCTGTAAACAAGACCCAACAAGGGAAATGTTTTATGCTCGTTTC